GGGTGGCGTCCTCGGCGGGCCCCTCCCGCCCGAGGCGGTGGATCGGGCTACTTGCGCGGCCGCGGACGGGGGGCTCGGCCTCCGCCGGGCCGTCGACCTGCGCTACCCAGCGTTCCTCGCCAGCCGCGTGGAGGCGCGGGGGCTGGCAGAGGAGGTCCTGGACGCTATGCCGGAGCCGTGGCGCGGGGCGCTGCTGGCGCACTGGGATTCCACTTCGGCGGGCGCGCTGGCAGCATGGCGGGCGGAGCTCCCGGCCTCGACTGCAGAGGTTGCCGCCCAGCACCTCCAGGCCGGAGCGACGGCGGCGCTGACGCGGGCAGCGCAGCTTGCGGGGCGGGCGCCGCTGCCTCCCCCTTCGGGGCCCCCGCCGCCGACAGGCGCCGACGCGCTCCTGTCGCCGCCGGGGGCTGACGACTCCGAGCGCCCCGGGGCCGCGCCGGGTCTCCAGGCGCGCCTGGCTGACCTTGCGTCCCGCCACCGCCTCGAGGCCGTGGAGGGCGCGCTGCTGTGGCGGCGCGACGTGGCAGGCCTGGAGCTCCTCCGCGACCTCCGAGCCCCAGGCACCGACCACGATCGGCTTTGGGAGCTCTCCGGGGCGCTGGCGCTTCTCCCAGAGGAGTTCCTGATCGCGGCGCGCCTGCGCGTTGGCGCCCCGGTCTACGTGACCCCTGGCGCGTGCTCCCGGTGCGGCGCGGAGCGGGGCATCGACGGGGCGCACGCCGTGTGTTGTGCCCCGGGGGAGTCCACGCGCGGCCACAACAGAGTGCGGGACGAACTCCTGGCGCTGGCCTCCCTGTCCGACGGGGCCGCTCGGTCGGAGGCGCCGGGCCTCATCGAGGCCGCGCCGCTTCTCCGCCCGGCCGACGTGCTCACCGCGGCTGCTTTTGGCCGGCTGACGGCGCTCGACGTGGGCATCGTGGCGCCGCACGCGGCCGGGGCCGGCGAGGATGCTGCCGCCGCCTACGTGGTCAGCAAGGTCGACAAGTGCGCGCCGCACCTGCCGGCGCTGGCGGCCGACGGGATCGCCTACCGGCCGCTCGTCTGGACAACGTGGGGCCGCCCGCACGAGGATGCGTCGGCCGCGGTCGCGTCCATGGCAGCCGCAGCGGGGAGGCGCCTGGGCGCGCCCTCGCACGCGCTCGCGGCGCGGGCCCGCACCGCCATCGGCGCCGCGATCTGGCGCCGAGCAGCGCGCATGGTCGGCGCATGCGGCCCGCGGCTCGCCCGAGGGGATGTTGGCGCCCTCCTGCCGGGGGCCGGGGCCGCCGGTGCAGGTGGCGCCGCCGACGCCGCCTCCGACGTCGATCCGCCCGCGGACCCCTCGCCGGCGGCGCCGTCCGACTCCTCCTCGTCCACCTCCTCGCCTGCCCCTTCCTGCCCGGCGTCGCCCGCTTCCTGCCCTGCCCGCCTGTCCCCCATCCCTTGACTTAACCGTTTGGGGGGGCGCGGCGGAGCCGGCAGGAGGCGAGGCGCTGGCGGGAGCGCTGGCCGGCGTGGCGGGCGAAGCGGACGCCGTCGCTGGCCTGGCTGGCACTGGCGGGCCCGCGGGGCCGGCGGGCCAGGTCGGCGCAGCCCTCCTGGGGGTCGGCGCAGCCGCGGGCGTCGCCGAGCTCGTGGCCGCGTTCGAGTCCATCGCGGGCGCGGTCGGCCCCGGGGGAGCCGGCGCGCCTGGCCCTGGCGACGCCGGAGGCGCTGCGGCGGAGGCTGCTGGCGCTGCGGGCTGCAGCGCCGCCGCGGGGGCCGCTTGCGAGCCGGCGGGCGGGGGCGCCCGGGGCCCGGCCTGGTTTGCCGGCTTCCGACTGGCGTACGGGCGCGGCCCCCCGGCGTAGCCGCCGTGCTGCCAGGGCGTGGGCGTGGAGGACGAGGGGTGTGGAGAGGGGGAGAAAAAAGTAGCAAATGCCCTATCTCTAGAAGTCCTTCGTCGTCGTTGTCGTCGCCGTCGTCTTCGTCGTCCTCCTCCTTCTCCTACCGTCCATGCTAACTCTGTATACCCTCAAGATCAGGTGTACCCTCTGTTCTGCTGAACTATGATTTCTGCTCTCTCACCTGTTTTCTCCACGCTCTACTATATATATATATATATATATATATATATATATATATATATGTATGTATCTCTAAATCTGACCTTGGTCGCAAACACCCAGAACAACTCGAGAACCTGAAACACCACGGTATCATGAATCTTGGACCCGGAATTTGGAACCTGGGAGAAAGGCCGCCACCGACGTCAGCCTGGAGCCCCAAATTGTACACCTTGGAACCCCGCCGCCCAACGAAAGTGGCCCCGCCAATTTCGCCTACTCTTTCAGTCTCCAGTGGGGCCTCTTCTGTGCAAGCACTGATGGGGGAACTCTCTGTTCTCACTGTCTACTTTGTATGCTCTTTCGCTCTCTCTCTTTCTCTCCTTCTTTATTGTTTTATTTCTCTCTCTCTCTCTTTCTCTTCTATCTGTGTATGTACATATTTGTATTTGTACAACTGTTTCCATACGGTCTCCTTCTCTCTTTCCTACGCGCTCTCGCCCCCCCCCTCGCATTACATCGCCGTGCCGAAAGTTCCTTGACTGGTTGCAAGTGCGTCCGGATGCACACCATGTTCATTGGCACGAGCTCACCGCGACGGCAGTCCTGAGGGTGACGAGGCTTCGGGGGGCATTGAATTCCCCTCGAAGTCCAGCAAGACAGTCGCCTTGCGTAGTCTGGCCAGGATCCCGCTCCCCTGATGTAATATTATAGAGTGGCTTGAATGCAGAAGATAATATATCCCACATAAAAAATACAGTTCCTATGCGGGTTGCAAAACCTGCAGTTTGATGTCGTATTGGCGTTGTCTTGGGGTCCTTCATCTCGAGAGCGCATCCGGGCCATGCCAGGGCCGTGGTGTGTTCTGGTATTGCTTTGGCCACTTTGGGCCCGCTTGGGGGCCATCGCATGGGCATTGAAATATCTCTTGATCGCTCGTTGCGCATATGCTGGGCCGCGTTGCGGTCGCCCTGAAGGCACGGTGGGTCCGCGTCGCTTTGACGACGCGGCGACCACGCCGCTGGTGTTGAAGGTTGAACGCCGTCATCGGCATCGGCCAGTATGGAACGGTCTAGCGATCGGAAGGCTCCCGATCGTTCGAGGTTGAACGAACCACGCGGTTTCGGGGTCGTCCGGACGCGAGCCTGCCGCATTGTCGGGTCTCTTGGCGCTTTAGGGCCATCGTGGAAATGCTCTGGGGCCGCGGGGCCGCATTGGCATTGGTATGGTTCCTCTTGAGGCCGTGCGCGTTTCCAAAGTAATTGTTGCTGCGGCCCCATAGGACCGATGACACCATCAAATCGCTATGCTCTCTGTTCAGTATTAGTCAGGTATCGAAGTAAGTCTACATGTAAATGCCAGATGCTCAATAATGCGATCTACCAAATGTGCTCTCTAAACTATGATATGTACTCTTCCCTACCTACGATCTACTTTATCATTTTCGCCGTGGTCGCAAGGACTTGGGCACTTGGCCGCAACATGAACTTGAAGATCCGGGAACCTCAGGACGCTGGGAACTCCGGACTTGAAACAGAGAACCCGCGAATTTGCCCGCCCACTGAAATCGGCCCAGAACCGGGAACCTCGGACTGGGAACTTGGGAGTCCGGCCGCTTACCGAAATTGGCGCCGCACCGAAGACGCACCAAATGAGACCCCTAAGAGGCCCTCCGAATGCAAACAAGCCGTCCGAGATTGTCCAAGAGGCCCCGGAAATCACATCAGGATCGCCCCAAAAAAGTACCCAGAGGCTCCTGAAAGGCCCCCGAGAGGTCTCCAGAGGCCCCTAAGAAGTCCCTTGGGAGCCTTCGGCAGTCCCTCTGGAGACCTCCCTTGAGGAACTTCCACCAGCAGTTGAGATGGAGAACGGCGACGTGTTCACTTGGAAGCGCAAGATCGCGCAAGAGGAAACAGGAAGCGGAAGGGATGGAGAATATGGAAATGGCTGAGAATGACGAGAACCAAAACGGGAACAGAAACATGCTATATTGTTTGTTGTTGTTTGATGTCTGGGCCCCCAAGAGGCCTCTTCGGGCCCCACACTATCAACAACACCAACAATAATAACAATACTAAAAACAACAACAGCAACACTCATGTTAAGACTGTTCGCCCTTATCTGCTCGCGGGCCATTCAACACGTATATCCCAAACCCTCGATACCCGCCCTCTTCGTCTTCGATCGTACCCCCTTTGGGGTACATACTTGTTTTACCTGCAACGTGTATTTCGTGCAGCCCCTAGGGCAGGGGAAGAGAAGACGGATGGAAGGAAGGGACACGAGAGTGCTAGGTTTCACGAAAGGTCTAGAATCGCTCTGTTCAGAGCTGTGGGAAAGGAAACGCATTTCGCGTGGTCGAAACATACAAATAAAGCTGATGTCATGTAATTGCTACACACATTTTTCTGATATTCAGAAATATAATATTTTAGCAGAGCGGCGCCCGCAGTGGCGGGGGAGGGAAGAAGGGGGAGGAGGGAGAGGAAGGGGGGCGGGGTCCTGGGGAGGGGAGGAGGAGGGAAGAGGGAGGAGGGAGGAGGAGGCCTCCTCCCTCTTTCCCCCCCGTCTCCCCATCTTCCTGGAGGGAGTCGACTAGATCGGCTCGAAACATGTGCCCGAAGTCACGGGGTCCATCCTGGCCAGCCCTCCGAGCCTTCTCCAGCCGCGGCGACGAGGACCCCCGGAAGTATCCAACGAAAATTCGCGACGACGACGTCGCCGACCTGCCCCCGCGCCAGACCTCCGCGGCTGCCTCGCCGCCGTCGACGGCGGGCGACGACCACGATGACAACGGCGAGGACATCGTCGACATCCGCGCCGCAGACGACCACGAGCCGACGACGGCGGCGACGGCCTGGCGTCGACGACGACGGCGACGACGAGCTGACGTCGTCGATGATGACACCGTCGGCGACGGCGCCATTGGCGTCGACGTCTCCAGCGCCGACGTCTCCAGCGCCGGCTGCGGCGGAGGCACCTCCGCGGCTGCCTCGCCGACGCCGAGGCCAGCGCCTCCGCCGGAGCTGCCGCGGCCGCCGCCGGCGCGCCAGAGCCACTTAGGCAGCTGCTGCGCCGGTCGAAGCCGCCGGAGGCGCCCGGGGCGACGCCGCCAATTGGCGGCGGCCGGCGCCGACCAACAGCCCCAGAGGATCGAAAATTTACAACGACAAGCCGCTTTTCTCCAGTTTTAAATTTATTTTGTGTTCTCGAGAATGGAGGTTCGACCTCCGAGAAAAAGGTTTTTGATCCTCTGGGGCGGCTGCGGCAGTGGCTCCCCTGCCGCCAGACTTCCGCGGACGACGACGACGACGACAACGACGACGACGGCGACGTCGACCGACGGCGGCGGCGGTGGTGGAAAAGGCGGTGGACAAGGCGGCGGCGGAGACGGAGAGGGGGACGGGATGGTGCGAGGGGGAGGGAGGAGGAGGAGGAAAAGGACCAGTAGAAGCAGCATGATGAGCAGGAGCTGGAACGATAGAAGGAATAGCTGCAGAAGAAGTATGATAATGAGGATTATGTGGCCCAGCTCAGCCGCAGCTTCGCCCTGGATGACGGCGAGTCTCGCGTACTCAACTATCCCACTTGCTTCGGGCTGACAACATGTATTATTCCGTCCAGCGTTCGAGATGTTCGTGCAACGGTACTCTGCAACGAGCATCTACCACTTACCATGGAACAGCTAGAAGAAATTCTGGGGCATCGTGCAGATCGTGAAAGGCCTCAGGAGTATGACGGCGAAGCTAAGAAAATGGTCCAGAGGACCTTCAGCCAGCGCGTGCTTCGGGTCACCATTCTGGGACCTACTCCAATAAAGTGTTCAGAGAGTGAAGAGATAGGAGTACAACAGTTGAGACGAATGTAACCATTCTGAGGATGGACATGCGAAGTCCATTAAGATAAAGCGCTGCGCGTACAGTGGATACTCATGCCAAGAAACACCCTGCTTGCCTCCAGGGTGCCTTGGGTTTCTTAGGTTTCCATGGTTCTGCAATGGAGAGCGTGACGATTCCACACCAAAAATCGACGGACGCCCTGGGGTCTCAGGGTTGGGTTTCTTGTGGAAGGTTTCTTGTGGACTGGCATCCACTGTCCTCAGGAACATCTTTCGGCTGCCACGAACAAGGCCGCTGCACAGCGGCTTCTCGAAGTATAGGTAATTTGACTGATGAGAGCAATGCTCACTAATTTGTTGGTGGCAAGAGTTTCGTCCCCTCAGAATGGCAGCACAGTGCGCAGACCTGGTAGGGCACACTGCAATTGATGGGCAGTGACATGAGGGGGAGGAAGAAATGCCTTGCACATAGTGGTGGGGCCGAATGGGAGGACGCTTTCGTAACAGTGTGCGGCTCAGATGTGAAGGAGCTGTGTCGTGATCAGTGCCGCAGCGAAGCCCAGCCGGGGCTCTTCCGCGCTGGTGCTGACTAGGGCTCACAGCGGGCGTCATTGACTCAGCCAAACAGAATTGCCGGAGGGTCACCGTACCGTCCGCACGAAGCCCGCCAGGAGCAGCACCCGAGGCACCGCCAGGGGCTCCAGCGCTGATCCAAGAAATCCGCGCGGACCCCCGGGAGATTATGTTTATGTCGTTTTGTTGTTCCTTTGCAGAGGAGTCCGAACCCACCGGGTCGCCTGATGGGTCCCAGTCGGGTCTGGTCTGGCAGGTACGCCCGGCCGTTGGGGGCAGGCGCGCCGGCAGGTGCTCGGTAGCGGCCTTGGTGCATTGAAGCCGTGGTGCGACGGATAGTTCGGATGACAACGGTTCTTGCTCTTTTGGCGGACACATGAGGCCCTTTGGAGGGTCTGGCCTTCGAGGGATCGGTGAGTTGTCATCTCTTCCCCAACGGAAGGCTGGCGGAAGTATAACGAGGGCGGCTCCGCCCGCGGAAGCTGGTGGAAGGCCAACGGAAGCAGTCACCGTCCCCCAAGAGATGCCAATGTTTGTTGGTTCAGGCTCTGGATCGAGACACACGAATCCAGGATCCAGTATCACCGCTCGCACCTGTAGCCGTTGCCGCGGAAGAGGCTGTGCGTGCGCTGTTGATTTTGGTTCGCGTGTGAGGCATTGTATTGCCCGCAGGGTTGGAATGAACTCTTCCTCCAAGTTTCCTCTTCATAAGCTCCTACACGGATTTATGTTCATTGCGGGAAGAGCCACGTTGGAAACCAACCGTTCAAAAATCTTCAATTTTGTCATAGCACCATTCATGGGACATCAACGCCGTGAATTAACATTACTGTGGCTACCTGACGATCCTAAATCGTACCGGACAACAATTTTTAGGAACCCCGCGAATCACCGTGATTAGCGCGCCCTGACAATCCCACACCGTGCCAAAACATAGTTTCTGGGACGTCAAACATAAGTGTCCTTGAAATTACTCTAAACTGGTAAGATGAATGTGCGCGGCGCTAAGGCGAGAGGCACATTCTGGAAAGGAACCGCCCTCAATCCGCGAAGCTCTACCAAACTTTTAAGACGAACGTGCGAGGCGCTAAGGCCAGAGCCACATGTTGAAAACTGCCCGTCTCTATGCGTGAAATTTTCGTGAACTTTCAAAAAGGATGTGCGCGGCGCTAATGCGAGAGCCGCGTTTTGAAAAGCACCCGCCCTCCATCCGTGAAGCTCTTGTAAACTGTTAGACGAATGTGCGCGGCGCTGAGGCGAGAGCAATTTCACGCTTCGGGATCATAGATGCTGAGGAAATCAAACACAGTCCGCCCTACCGACCTGTGTCTGGGTGCGACAGGGAGGAGTTGTTTATAAGGAAGAGGGATGGAGGAGGAGGAGGATGCACGCAATGGGAGAAGCTTGCTTCTGCCCATCCTTCGTCCCTCCCATCCTCGCCCCCACCCCCTCTCCTCACCTGGCGACGAGGACGAGGACGAGGACCACGACGACCTGCAGGACGACGAGGAGAAGGAGGACGACGACGATGACTACGACGACGACGAAGACGACGACGACATCGAGGAGGACGACGACGACGCTCATTGACGACGACGGCCAGCGACGACGGCCGATGACGATGACGACGACGACGGCCGACGACGAGGCCGACGACGACTACGGTCGAGGACCACTGCCGACGCCAACTCCAACACCGACGACGGCCGACGGCGACGACGACGGCCGACGAGGATTACGACCGACGGCGGACGACGGACGACGGCCCACGAACGACTGACGACTGACGACGACGACGACGACGACGATGCACGACGAAGACGACGACCACGACGACGACGACGACGGTGGCCGACGACGCCGACGACGACGGCCGACGATGACGATGACGGCGACGACGGCCACGGACGACGGACGACAGGCCTCGGACGGACGACCGACCACGGGCCACGGTCGACGGATGACGACGGACGACGACGACGATGATGACGACGACCACGGACGACGGACGACGCACGACAGGCTTCGGCCGACGGCCGACGACGGACGACGACGACGATGATCGTTGACCACGACGGTCGTTGACCACCACGACGGCGACTTGCTGACGACGACGACGACGACGGCGACGGCCGAGGGCGACGGCCAACGCCGACGCCCACGCCGACGCCGACGGCGACGACGACAGCGGCGACGACGACGTTGGACGACGGACGACGTGCGACGGCAGATGAACGACGACAGCGGCTGACGACGACGGACGACTGACGACGGACGACTGACGACGGGCGACGACGACCGACTACGACCACGACGATGACGGTAACGAGATTGCTGACGATTTCGGCGACGACGACGGCCGACGACAGACGGCTGACGACGACGGCGATGACGATGACTTGGAGGAATACGGCGACGACGATTGTAGACGACGACGGCCGACACGCTAACGCCGACGACGACTCCGAGAAGGACGACGACGACGTTCGTTGACGGTAATAGACAACGACAACGCCGATGACGACGCTGACGACGATGACTCCGAGGAGGACGGCGACGATGGTCGTTGACGACTATGGACGACCACGACGACGACGGACGATGGACGAAGACGATTGACCACGACGATGGCGATGATGACGACGGACGACGGCCGACGACGGCGACGGCGTCGACGAACAACGAACTCCGAACGACGAACGGCGAACGACGAATAACGAACGATGACGACGACGACGGCGACGATGACGGACGACGACGACGAAAACGACGGCGACGACGACGACGAGCGACGGACGACAGACGACGGACGATGACGATTGACGACAACGACGACGTTCATTACGACGGTTGACGGCGGACGAGGGACAACGGCGACGACCGCCGACGGCCGACGACGACGACGACTTTCGTGATGACGACGGTGAAGATCGTGAACGACAATGGCCGATGCCGAAGCCGCCGACCACGACGACGATGATGACGACGACGGCCGCCGACGACGACGACGATGGCCGACGGCCGACGGATGATGGACGACACCGACGACGACTTCGAGGAGGACGATGTAGACGATTCTTGACGACAGCGGACAACGACGACGACGGACGACGCACGACGGACGACGGATGACGACGACTGACGACGACGACGACGACGACGACGGTGACGACGACGACGGTGACGACGACGACGGACGACGGACCCCGACGCACGACGACGGCCGACGGCCGACGGCCGACGTCGACGTCGATGCCGACGCCGACGACAACGACGACGGCCGACGGAGACGACGTCGATGACGACGACGACGACAAACGACGAACGACGACGACGACGGACGACGACGCGCGACGACGTCGACGACGACGAGCGACGACCGACCGACGACGGACGACGACGGACGGCGACGGACGGCGACGACGACGGCGACGACGAGGGCGACGGCCGACGCCGACGCCGACGACGCTGACTGACGTCGACGACACCTTTGACGACGACGACAACGTACGGCGGACCACTGATGACGACGGACCACGACGACGACGGACTTCGGACGCCGGATGACGACGGCGATGACGACGACGGACGACTGAACGATGGACGACGAACGATAGCCGGCGACGGACGACCGACGACGACGTCGACGACGACGGTGAAAAAATACCTGACTGCGAGTTGGACGACGACGACGGTCGTTGACGACGACGGCCGCCGGCGACGGTCGACGACGACGGCGACGTTGACGACGACGGCAGACGCATGACGACGATAACTTCAGGGGGGATGACGACGAAGACCGTTGTTTACGACCAACGAAGACTACGACCGACCACGGACGAAGGGCGACGGACGGTGGACGATGATTGTTGACGACGACGACGACGATGACGGGGACGACGACGAACCCAGATCGACGAACAGCGAACGACGAACGACGAATGACGAACGGCGACGACGACGACGACGTCGGACTACTTAAGCCGACGACGGCGATGGCGACGGACGACTGACGATCGCCGATTGACGATGCCGACGGACGACGGCGACGACGTTGACGACGACGGCGCACGACGGACGCCCGACGACAGACGATGGCGAATGGGCGACGGACAACGACGGACGACGGCCGACGACTACGACGATAAAGACGACCACGGCTTCGAGGACGACGACGACGACGACCGACGACGACGATGGCGACGACGACGACGACGACGACGACGGCGGCGGACGACGACGCCAACGACATCGACGGCCAGGGGCAATGGCGGGCCCCCACGCTGATTTTGACGACGACGACGATGGACGACGGACGACGGGCGACGGCCGACGAACAACGGACGAGGGACGACGACGACGACGACGACGACGACGACCTCGGACGATGAACGGTGGATGACGAACGATGGATGACGGTTGCGGGCGACGACGACGATGGTGACGACTGACGATGCCGACGGACGACGGCCGTCAGCCGACGATGGACAACGACGACGACTTCGAGGAGGACGACGACGACGATCGTTTATGATGACGGCCGACGACGACGGTCGACGACGACGACGGCAACGGCCGATCGACGACGCCGACGACGGCCCAGGAAGACGGCCGACGGCGTCGACAACGACGGCGATGACGACGACGACGACGACGCACGACGGCCGACGGCCGACGGTGAGGACGACGGCCGACGGCCGACGAACCACGGACGATGGCGACGACGACTGCTAGGATGGCGATGACGATGACCATCGACGACGATGCACAACGACGACGGACGACGGACGACCAAAGACGACGACAATGACAGCGGTGGATGACGGATAAGCGACGGCCTACGACGACGATGATGAACGACGAATGACGACTGGCGAATCACGAGAAACGAATGACGGACGGAGGACGACGAACGACGGATGACTACGGTGTGCGACAACAATGGCGACGACGGACGACGGGCGACGGACGACAGCCGACGATGGACGACGGCGGCGACGAAGAAGATGACTTCGAGGAGGACGGTGACGATAATCATTGACGACGACGGCCGACGACGACGACGACGACGACGGCCGACTACACTTCCGACGACGACGGCCGAGGGCGATGGCCGACGCCGATGACGACGACGATGACTGATCACGGCGACGACGGCGACGACGGACGACGGACGACGGACGACGACCGACGGCCGACGGCAGACGGACGACGACGACTATGACGATGACGACGACGATGACGACGGACGACGGACGACGGGAGACGGACGACAGACAACAGACGATGGACGACAAACGACGGACGACGACGATTGACGACGACGATGACGACGACGGCGACGACGACGACGACTACGGTGGACGACAGACGACGTATGACTGACGACGAACGGCGACGGTGATTTCGAAGAAGACGACGATGACAAACGTTGACGACGATGGACAAAGGCGATTGACGACATACGACGGACGACGACGACTGACGACGGCGACGACGATGACGACGACGAACGACAGACGACGGACGACCGACGGCCGACGACGACGGACGACGGACAACGAAGAGCGAGTGACGAACGACGAACGTCGAACGACGAGCGACGGACGACGGACGACGAACGACCGATGACGACTGTGGCCGACGTCAACGATGGTGACGTCCGACGACGGTCGACAGCCGACATTCGGCGACGGACGCCGGCGACGACAAAACTCCGAAGAGGACGACGACGACAATCGTTGTCGACGTCGGACAGCGACAGCGACGACGACGACGACGACGACGACGGAGGACGGACGACAGACGACGGACGACGGACCCCGAATGACTGACGACGATGACGACGACGACGACGACGGCGACGGCGACGACGACGACAACGACGATCACGACGACGACGACAACGAGGACGACGACGACGAACGACGGACGACGAACGACGGAGAACGAACGACGAACGACGACCGTCGACAAACGACGACCGTCGACGCGCGGCGTTGGCGCCTTCCCGCGCAGGCGTGCTGCGCGGACGCCCTCCAGGCGTGGCGCGCGTCCAAGGCGGGGCAGGCCGTCCAGAAGGAGGCCGCGGAGCTGCACAAGAGGGCCCTGCAGGCTTGTCGAAGAGGAAGGACGGGGAGAAGGAAGAGGGAGGTGGGGTCCTCGTCTTCTTCCTCCTCCTATGCCCTCCCTCCCTCCCTCGCTCGTCCTCCTCGTCAGGGCGAGGTGGCCTTCTCCTCCTCCTCCCCCTCCTCCTCCTCTTCCTCCTCCTCCTCCTCCCCCTCCTCCTCGAAGTGTGACTCCTCGCCCCCATCGCCAGGCGAGACGTTCCCCCACCCACCCGCGCGCGCGCTGGCTTGCCGCACAGGCGGTCGCGGGCGCCCTCCGGGCGATGAAGACGCTCGAGGCGTGCGCCCGGCTCGTGCACTTCTTCGACGTCACGGTTCGCACGGCCCGCGACGAGGAGCTCATGAGGCGGGGGGGTGGCGCCGACGCAGCGCTTGTGCCTCCTTTGGAGGAGGAGGAGGAGGAGGAGGAGGAGGAGGAGGAGGAGGAGGGAAGGGGAGGGGGGGAGGCAGGCGTAGAGGGATGGAGAGAGGGGAGTTGATGATGATGATGCGGCTTCTGCTGCTGCTGCTGCTGCTGATAATGATCATGCTGCTGCTGCTGCTGCTGATGATGATGATGATGATGGTGATGGTGGCGACGACGACGATGATGATGATGCTGAAGAGGAAAAAGAAGGCGATTGTGATGATGGTGATGACGCTGTGGCTCTGATGATGAGGGTGAGGGTAAAGATGAGGATGATGGAGATGCTGGTGGTGATGGTGATGGTGGTGATGGTGATGACAGTGATGGTGATGATGGTGATGATGGTGGTGATAGTGGTGATCATGGCGATGATGGTCATAGTCATGGTCATTTCCAAGGTGGTGGTCATGATCATGGTGATGAGGATGGTGATAATGATAGTGGTGAGTGTTTGTGATGGTGGTGGTGATGGTAATGGTGGCGTGATAATGATATTGGTGGTGATTATGGTGATAGTGGCGGTGATGATGTTGATTTCGATGATGAGGATGATGATGATGATGATGATGATGATAATGCTGATGAGGATGATGATGGTGGTGGTGGTGGCGATGGTGACGTTGATGGTGATGGTGATGATGATGATGATGATGATGATGATGATGATGATGATGATGATGATGATGGTAATCGTGATGGTGATGGTGGTGGTGGTGATGATAGTAATGGTAGCGATGGTGGTGATAAAGGTGATGATGGTGATGAGGATGCTGATGATGATGGTGGTGGTGATCATGGTGGTGGTGGTGATGATGATGGTGTGATTATGGTGATGATGGTGGTTGTGATGGTGATTATGGCGATGATGGTGATGATGTTGGCGATGGCGTGGTGGTGATGGTGAAAGTGATGGTAATGGTGGTGGTGATGATGAAGATGAGGATGCTGAGGAGGGGGAGCATGAGCTAATGAGGCCAGGGGGAACCAGAGAATCGAGGATCGACGACCTCCAAATTCAAGGATCGACCTCCTTTCTGGAGGTATTCCTTATTTTGCTCCGTTCTGAAGGTTTCTTCCCGCCGGGAATGGAGCTTAGGCCTCACTCTGATCCAAGATGGAGGTGTTCGATCCTCTGGGGAGGGCGCCAGCGAAAGGCCGACTCCTCGCCAGAGGAGGAGGAGGAGGAGGAGGAGGGGAGGAGGAGGAGGAGGAGGAGCGAGGTTTCAGTGCGCTTTCGGCCCTCAGGAGGCCTCCGTTGGCCTCCGTAACCTCCAGAGACCGCCTCATGTGAGGTGTGGGCGGAGGCGACTACACGCCTACGTCTGTTACTTCCCCCCCCACTCTCTCCTCCGCTTCCTCTCCCTCCCCCCTTCACCACCCGACTGGCCAGGAGTTCCCATACAACTGTCACGTGCCCAGAGCGGGCCCAGGGCGGATGATGGGTGCGCAGGCAGCACTCTGGAACAGGGATCGCTTCTGCGGGTCGGCGTTCTGCGGGAACATGGTTTTTGGCCAGATTTGGGGGCCCGGTGGGCCCCCAGACCCTAGCGTTCCCCGCCTTCGCCATTCCGAACGCCGCCAGCGTCGAGCACTCATTCCTTTGCCGGCCGTTATGCAACCGGCATTCTCATGTGACGGGCCCGATCTGCCACAATGACAGCGGGGTCCCGCCACAAAGAGCCCCGAGTAAGAGTCATTAGCTACGCTTCCCTCGTGTGACCTGCCGCTGCCGCCGCCGCTTCCGTTTATATAGGTTGGCGACGGCAGCGACGACAGACATTGTACATCACAGCTATATGTGTGTGCTAGACAGGACAAAGTCGCGCGCGCGCGCCCGCCCTCTCTCTGGTCGGCTGGCCGGCTTATACCCACCATACTCTATAGTACATTCGCTTACCGGATATTTCGTATAGCCATGGCGACAAGTACATCCCGTGACAGGCGTAATTTGGGACCACATATTCCAAGAACAAGAACATCAATGACAAGAGCCAACCAGCAGGATCAAGATAATGTCCGACTCCACGATGAATAGGCAACATGTTGTAAGGAACGAAGCGAAGCCCCTCTCTTGCCCTGGCTGGGCCGAGAGGCTGGGCCGACCCAGGGGAAGAGCCAAGGGAAGAACCGACGGGAGCCCGTAGCCTGCTTTCCAGGCCCAAATCCCTTTCTTTCGGGAGTGTCCAAGTGGGTGGTGGGGAACAGGGGTGTGTGGATGCCATGGCGGGGGCCATGAGATCTCCCAGATGTCACGGCCCTTTTCGGCTTCCTCTCCATGCGTTCTTATGCGTCTTATGATCATCATTTTTTGTGTGATTATTGTTCTTCTTCTACGTATTCTTCGTATTCTTCTTATTGTGATTATTCTTCTTCTTTGAATACCTGTAGTGTTATGGCGATTCCATCATTAGCATGATGACCATTATGGTCAATATTATTAGTTTTATGTCGTTGTTGGTACCAGCATTCTCATTATCAATACCAGTACCATTACCACTACCACTCCCATAACCAGTATCGTTCGTTTGTAATTCTTGTCGGCATTGTGCTTTTTATTCCCAGCCCTCCTTCGTTGGGTATTCGTTTTGACTCGCACTCCGGTCTTGCCAGAGGGGCTGCGATCTGCGAAGCTGTCGCCATTTTGAGGGCTGCTGGTGGGTCCAGCGGAGTGAGGAACAGCGCAGACCTGAACGGGACCTCGCCGTCCCTGGGGGGCTCCAATATGCGACACTGTCGCCACTTTCGAGGGCTGCTGGTGAGTCCAGCGGAGTGAGGCACCGCGCAGCCCTGGGCGGAACCTTGCCGATCCTGGGGGCTGCGATCTGCGACACTGTCGCCACTTTCGAGAGCTGCTGGTGGGTCCAGCGGAGTGAGGCACCCCGCAGACCTGAGCAGTACCTCGCCGTCCGTGGGGTCTGCGATCTGCGACACTGTCGCCACTTTCGAGGGCTGCTGGTGGGTCCAGCCGAGTGTAGGCACCGCGCAGACCTGAGCGGGACCTCGCCGTCCCTGGGGGTGCTGCGATCTGCGACATTGTCGCCAGTTTGAGGGCTGCTGGTGGGTTCAGCGGAGTGGGGCACCGTGCAGACTTTAGCGGGACTTCGCCGTTCTTGGGGGGGGGCTGCGATCTGCGAAATTGTCGCCACTTTCAAGGCAGCTGGTGGGTCCAGCAGAGTGAAGCACAGCGCAGCCCTGAGCGGGACCTCGCCGTCCCTGGGCGGGCTGCGATCTGCGAAGGTGTCGCCATTTTCGAGGGTTGCTGGTGGGTCCAGCGGAGTGAGGCACCGCGCAGCCCTGAGCGGGACCTCGCCGTCTCTGGGGGCTGCGATCTGCGAAGTTGTCGCCACTTTCGAGGGCTGCTGTTGGGTCCAGCGGAATGAACACCGCGCAGCCCTGAATGGAACCTCGCCGTCCTTGGGCGGGTTGCGATCTGCGACACTGTCGTCACTTTCGAGGGCTGCTGGTGGGTCCAGCGGAGTGAGGCACCGCGCAGACTTGAGCGGAATTTCGCCGTCTTTGGGGGGCCGCGATCTGCGAAGGCGTCCGTCGCCATTTTCGAGGGTTGCTGGTGGGTCCAGCGGAGTGAGGCACCGCGCAGCCCTGAGCGGGACCTCGCCGTCCCTGGGGGCTGCGATCTGCGAAGGTGTCGCCACTTTCGAGGGCTGCTGGTGGGCCCAGCGGAATGAAGCACCGCGCAGCCCTGAATGGAACCTCGCCGTCCCTGGGGGCTGCGATCTGCGAAACTGTCGCCACTTTCGAGGGCTGCTGGTGTGTCCAGCGAAGTGAGGCACTGCGCAGACCTGAGCGAGACCTCGCCGTCCCAGGGGGGGGGGCTACGATCTGCGAAGGTGTCGCCACTTTCGAGGGCTGCTGGTGGGTCCAGCGATGTGGTGCACCGCGCAGACCTGAGCGGGACCTCGCAGTCCTTTGGGGGCCGCGATCTGCGGCATTGTCGCCACTTTCAAGGGCTGCTTGTGGGTCCAGCTGAGTGAGGCACTGCGCAGACCTGGGCGGGACCTCGCCGTCCTTGGGGGGCTGCGATCTGCGACATTGTCGCCAGTTTGAGGGCTGCTGGTGGGTCCAGCGGAGTGAGGCACCGCGCAGACCTGAGCGGGACCTGGCCGTCCGTGGGGGGGTATCTGCGACACTGTCGCCAGTTTCGAGGGCTGCTGGTGGGTCCAGCGGAGTGAGGCACTGCGCATGCGTCGTCGCGTGGGAATGTTGGTTCGAAGGAGCCATGCCATGTCGTTGCTGCCCTGCCGACGTTTCAAGCCCGTTGCCCGCCGTCTCCGTTCGTACATTGCCTTCAGAGGTTCACTCATGTACTCATCTCTACCACGTTTTCTCCCTTGATCTTCGACCTGCGGACCTCCCGAATGCCGCTCGCAGAAGTATATGCGTCCATGTCACGTCGTCGCCCTCTCACCTAATCTCCCAAGCTACTCTTGCCTTGCACTGCGCAAGGGTTGGGTACGTCGCCAGGGTAATTACTCTTATTGTTATTCGTATTCGTCCGATTATTATTGTCTTCTATAATGCTAGATATGAGTCGTAGTATCATTCGTATAGCAAACTTCACCGGTCCTATTATTATTATTATTATTATTATTATTATTATTATTATTATTATTATTACTAGTACTCCTCATTATTATTATTACCAGCGTTGTTGATATTATTCCGAAGGCCTTGCGGCCGGTACCGCCGACCCTGAAGGGGGACGACGAGGACGACGAGGACGAGGACGAGGACGACGACGACGACGACGACGACGACGACGACGACGACGACGACGGCGACGACGACGACGACGACGACGACGACGACGACGATGGCGACGACGACGACGACTCTGACGTGGGCCAGAGTCCTCAAGGATTATTTCTGTCTGGGGTCTCTTCGGGACACTCTCGGAGGCCTCTGGGGGGCAGTTAGGGGGG